TGTGTGTGCTGCAGGAAAGCAGGGCCAGGGGAGATGCTGCCCTGCAGGGCAGGGGGGAGCTGATTATTTTTGGTTTTTTGGGGTGGCTGGATGCAACACAACCTGAGCAAGAGCTCCCAGGGTATTTTGGGAGGCCTTGCACTGGTCCTTCCAAGGGCTCCAGGCTGCCTGGGGGCAATTCCTTCCCTCTCAGAGCTCTTGAAGCTGTTGAGAACATTCCCATCCCTGCCTGCTCTTTTCCAGCTTTTGAGGCCCTCAGAGATAATAATTCACACCAGACAGAGCAGGGAACTGACTGACAAAAGACATTCTCAGCAAAACATCACCACTGCAAATAAACCTTTTTTTTTTTTTTTTTTTACACCTGGATTTCCCCACCAAGGTCTCCAGAAAAAAAACAGGAACAAGGAGAGTTTCTCCAGGGCTGCGTCAGAAGGGAACAAACAATGCAAGGCTGAAAGAACAAGTCTGCACTGATGGGGTTTTTTTGTCCTCCCTGTGTATCAAGGAGAGAAATAGAGCACTCAGGAGCCTCCAGGCTGCTCCTCTGCAGCCAAAGGCTCGGGGAAGGTGACCCTGTAGCCCACATTCTGCTCAATGCCTTGCACAGATGATGCTTCTCCAGCTCACTGCAATGCAACACTCGCTGTGGGCCCTGTCCAGGCCAGCAGAAACTCACCCAGAGATGGAGCAATCTGCTGCCTCCCCACTCCTCTGAGGGCTGCCAGGGCCAAGATCCACCCCAAACCCCAAAAAAGCAGCAGCAGGGAAGCTCAGGGCTCGTTTCCCAAGCCAAGAGGCCCTGACTCAGCACCACCGTGTTCCCCTGCAGGGAATAATCTCATTTTCCTAGTGAAGAACCCACCCTGACACTGCCCAGCTCACCTCCCATTGCTGATCACATCCCTGTGCATTTCAGCAGCCCCTTATCAGATGGTTTTCAGGACTGTTTTAAACCTTTGCTCGCATTTTCTTTGAATATTTAAATGTTCTTGCTGGCCTGGTTTTCCTTCCCTATGCAGAGCAGTGATTTATGTTGCTAGATACCATATCTCCCTGCCTTGCCAAAAGCATGCATTTGGGAATGATTTCAGGGCTGCTGGTCATATTTTTCTCCCTCTTTTTATTCTGCACTTTATTTTTATTAACTTTTTTGTTGGAGGCGCCGTAAAAATGAAACTGTGGCTTGAAGGAACAACACTCATCAAACCCCCCAAACCAAAGCAAGCTGGAAGGCAGCTGCCATTCCCACCTGAAAGCTGCAGCATAATTCGAGCTTCCAGTCCTTAAAAGCTGAAAATTCACAGTCCCAGGTCTCAAACACCTTCACTTTTCACTATGGGGAAGCGGGAAATAAACTGACTCCAGGTTTGTGCTGCTCAGAGGAGCTCCCCTTTTTCTCCATGCTCCCAAAAACCCCACAGGGCTCCCCAAAAAGATGGAATACAAGACAAAAGGATTTTCATTCAATCCTTCAGCATCTCAAACACCTTCACCTCTCACCTTGGGGAATGGCAAGCTGGAAGGCAGCTGCCATTCCCACCTGGAAGATGCAGCATAATTCGAGTTTCCAGTCCTTAAAAGCTGAAAATTCACAGTCCCAACTCTCAAACACCTTCACTTTGCACTCTGGGGAAGTGGGAAACAAACTGACCCCAAATTTGCAGCTCTGTGCTGTCAGAGGAGCTCCCCTTTTTCTCCATGGTCCCAAAAACCCCACAGTTCTCCCAAAAAAGACAGGACACAAACCAAAATGAAGGATTTTCATTCAAACCTTCAGAATCTCAAACACCTTCCCTTTTCACTCTGGGGAGATGGGAACAAACTGACCCCAGGTTTGCAGCTCTATGCTGTCACAGGAACTCCCCTTTTTTTCCACACTCCCAAAAACCTCACAGTCCTTAAAAGATGAAAATTCGCAGTCCCAGGTCTCAAATACCTTCCCCAAAAAGATGGGACACCAATAAAATGAATGATTTTCATTCAAACCTTCAGGATCTCAAACACCTTCCCTTTTCACTCTGGGGAATTGGGAAACAAACTGACCCCAGGTCTGCAGCTCTGTGCTGTCAGAGGAGCTCCCCTTTCTCTCCACGGTCCCAAAAACCCCACAGTGCTCCCCAGAAAGATGGGACACAAAGCAAAAAGAAGGATTTTCACCTCCAGCATGCTGCCAATTCCCTCTCCATGCCCATCCCTGCCTGCTGGCTCGAGTGGAGGATGCGCCCATGAAGGTGAAACGCAGGCAGCAGGGCTGGGAGTGCCCCACATGAATCAGGGGTTCCAGGGATATAAAACACCCAGCCAGCCCTGCCAGGCTCCTGCCAGCTCACACCTTCCCTCCCCGTATTTCCTGAGCTGCCTCGTGCTCCACGGGCAGAGGGGAGAGGTAATTTCACTTCAGGAGTGTCACCTGTGAAGGCTGCAAATGGGGACAGGGATGGATTGGCTGCTTATCTGCAACCAATGGTTAATAAAGGCACTGCTGGCTGCAGGAAAAGCAGTTTCCTCTCTAAAACACGGAGCCAAGTGTCAGTTGTGGGAGGTGAGCTCCATTAGGAGGTTTCTGGGTGCATTTATGGTCCCTAATGCACACAGGCAGCCTGGGGACACGATGGTGCCTCTCCCTGAGAGCTCCTGAGCACAGCCCAAAGGGGTCTGCACTCATGGGGCTCCCCTGTAAATTGGATATTTTGGGGTTTGCACAGCTCTTGTGGTGCCCTTGAGCTTGGGGCAGGTTGGGCTCTGCCCTCCTTGCTCATGGATGGAGGGCAAATTCTGTATTTGTGACAGAAATATTTAATTTCATGTGGGTTTAGGAGAGGGGTGGGACATGGCAGGGTCATTTTAGCTCCTCAGTGGCTCTTTGAGGGTTGGCTGGGAATTCACACAGGGAGGGCAACATCAACACCATGAGAACCAACACAAACAGGGAAATTCACCACAAACTGCCTTTCATTGACAAGAGGAAGAGACAACATCCCTGAAATGCAGGGAGGAGCTCCAGCAAGTGTGTCAGCTCACCATAAACTAATTTCATTTACAGGAGGAAGAGACAACATTTCCAAAATGCAGGGAGGAATTTCAGCAAGTGTGTCAGCTCACCATAAACTAATTTCATTTACAAACTAGAGACAGAACATTCCCAAAATGCGGGGAGGAGCTCAGCGTGCCCACTCACCATAAACTCCATTTCATTGATAAAAGGAAGGAGAGAACATTCCCAAAGTACAGGCAAGAGCTCAACAGTGTCAACTCACCATAAATTAATTTCATTTACAAGAGGAAGAGACAACATGCCCAAAATGCATGGAGGAATTTCAACAACATTGTCAGCTCACCATAAACTAATTTCATTTACAAAGGGAAAGTGAGAACATTTCCAAAATGCAAAGAGGAGCTTCAGCAAGTGTGTCAGCTCACCATAAACTAATTTCATTTACAAAAGGAAGTGGAGAACATTGCCAAATGCAGGGAGGAGCTCAATGTGTAAACTCACCATAAACTGCATTTCATTTACAAAAGGAGGGAGACAACATTCCCAAAATTCATGGAGGAGCTTCAGCAACTGTGTCAGCTCACCATAAACTAATTTCATTGACAAGAGAAAGAAACAACATGCCCAAAATTCATGGAGGAGCTTCAGCAACTGTGTCAGCTCACCACAAACTGCATTTCACTTACAAACTGAAGAACATTCCCAAAATTCAAGGAGGAGCTCGGTGTCTGCACCCACCATAATCTCAATTTCATTGACAAAAGGAAGGAGAACATTCCCAAAACACAAGGAGGAGCTCAATGTGTAAACTCACCATAAATTGCATTTCATTGACAAAAGGAGGGAGACAACATTCCCAAAACACAAGGAGGAGCACAGCAAGTGTGTCAGCTCACCACAAACTGCATTTCATGTACAAACTGAAGAGCGTTCCCAAAATTCAGGGAGGAGCTCGGTGTCTCCACTGACCATGCAGGAGAATTTCACTCAATGTCAGCCCCACCAGGCAGGGAGGGTTCCAAGAATCCCTCCAGAGCATCACCAGGAAAATATTTTAATTTTATATTGAGTCATTTCCCCACTATTTTTTTTAAGCTGTAAAATCTCAGAGTTCTCCATGTCTTTTTCTCTCTGATCTCGTACAATTGTAAGGGTTGGTGGTGAGACAGTGGATATGAATTAAAAAATACCAAATTCTTCTTCTAATGGTCAAGTCCTGCTAACACACCAAGTTTCAGAGGTAAAAGCCAGTGTTGTTTCTGTGAACTTGATGATGCTGCCACAATCTCCAGCATCTGACTGCTAAAATCTACCAAAGCCTTTGCAGATTTTTAAATATTAATTAATATTTCACAGTAAATTGTACATCTAGTTTTGCTCTTTTATGTGTGAACATAGGTGTAGGCATAAGTATAAAAATATTGATGTGTTGTCAACCTCACTACAGTCAAATATTCTTCTTTTAAGAAGGTAATTTAAGAATTGACTCTTGCAAAACTCCCAATAACAAATACAGTAAATTGTACATCTAGTTTTGCTCTTGTTTGTGTGAACATAGGAGTAAGTATAAAAATATTGATCTGTTTCCAACCTTACAACAGTCAAATATTCTTCTTTTAAGAAGGCAATTTAAGATTTGACTCTTGCAAACTCCTGATAATAAATACAGAAAATTGTACATCTGGTTTTGCTCTTGTTCGTGTGAACACAGGTGTAAGTGTGAAAATAATCACGTCTTGCCAACCTTACCAAAGGTAAATATTCTTCTTTTAAGAAGGTAATTTAAGATTTGACTCTTGCAAACTCCTAATAACAAATACAGTAAATTGTATATCTGGTTTTGCTCTTGATTCTGTGAACATAGCTATAAAAATATTGATGTGTTACCAACCTTACAACAGTCAAATATTCTCATTTTAAGAAGGCAATTTAAGATTTGACTCTTGCAAAACCCCCAAATAACAAATAGGAATAATAAACCCAAAGCCAGGTGAGCACTCACCAATCCTCAGGGAATGGGGGCTGGCCCAGATCCTCATCAGCCACAGCAGAAGGAGCACCAGAGGCGCCAAGACACGGAGCATCTTCCATAAATCCTCATGGAGCCCTGCGGTGGTCTGGGCATGACATAACTCTGCAGGGAGACACAGAAAACACCCTTGAGCCCCTCTGCTGCCCCCAGCAGCACCACTCAGCTCAACCAGCACGGAGACAAAAGCTCTATTTACCCGAGCAGGAGGCAGCTATTTACAGGCTATGAATTATTCAGGGTTTGGAATCCAACTGGGCAGAGAGCTCCTTGCAGGAAAAAATTTTAAAAAATGATAAAAAATTTAAAAAGTTAAAAAAAAAGAAAAAAAAGAAAGGAACACGAGGAAAAGTCCAAATATTTCATTTTGGCATTTTTAGCGTTTCAACAAAAACAAGTGGAAATCAATATTGAGTCACATCTCTGACTTCTATTCTCACCCACCCCCCCCTTTCCCTTTCCACTCAGAGCAGCCAGCAACTCATTATATAATACTGATTCTGATTTTAGGATGGGACAAATCATTTTCATAGCAAAACGTGATTTGAGGGAAGGCTTGAGGAGGCAGGAGTCACTTGGGTCTCAGCAAACTAGAAACCAATAATTCCTTGCCACAATTCCTTCCCTCCCTTTCAGGAACAAGAGGGTTCAGCACAAGACCAAGAGCATCTTTTTTTTTTTTTTTTTTTTTGTCTTCTTTTTTTGTCTCACCACCCAACCACCCAGAAGTCCAAGTTCCAAAGTCAGAACACCACCAAAATGAAGGGCAGGAGGTGGAAAATCCACAAACTCATCCTCAGCACAGATATTGGCACTGGCTGTCCCACAGCAGGCTCCTGCAGCACAGCTAATCAAATTTGCAACAAATGCCATTTTAAACAGCTTCATAAAGGGCACATTTTACTTCATGGAAAAAAAACATAAAACCCCAAAAAAACTGTTGTCTCTGGAGTTGATAAAATTATCTCCGCAGGCAGCAATGTCCTTAAATGCTGACTTTGAGCGTTTCATCTGTTACCTTATCTCTCCCTTCTCTCTTCTGCTGGCAAACATTCTCACCCTCTTCCATTTGTCTCCTTCTTGGGCCAAATACCAAGTCCTGACACAGGCAAAGTCTTTAATCTGCCTTTGAAGCTACCAGGAGTTTTGTCTGAGCAAGGCGCTGCCTTTCGCTTGCAATTTTCCAATTAATCTATTTTTAGATTACATTTAAGACTTCCTCCAGCTTATCTCAGCACTCTCCACAGGGACCATCCCCTTTCACAGAGGGGAAATGCAGAGACAGGGCCACAGAAATAAAAATCCAGGGAGCCCTGGGACATCTCCAGGGGTTTGATGCCTTCCTGGATCATGTTTCCACACCTCCTGCATCCCAATTCCACAAAACTGAGGGATCTCATGCTCAGCTGTCAGTCAGACATGGGAAGAACATCCCAATTTCAGCGCTTTCAACCCATTTTTAAAAGCTAGAGACACCCCAAAAAAAAACCACCTGGAAAATGAACCACCCCTGTGAAGGGCAAATAGCAATTTTCTCCTTTTTTTCCCCCTCTTTTCAGTGGGAGTTCCAGAGCAATTCCTGGGGAAGAGAAGCCCTAAAAGGTTAAACACATGGGAAATTGGTTACTTAGAAGTGCTGGCAGCAGCAGAGACAGATTGCAGAGCAATGTATCACTGGAGCACTTTGAAGCAGCTATTTCCAAACTTCCCAAGATATTGACAAAACAGCAGCATCGTGTCAGATGCACTCCCAGCCTGGAATGTGGAGCTGAGCACACACAGACGTCCCTTCCCCACGGAGACAGCAGGACAGCCTGGGGTTTGCCACCCTTGTGCTCAGTTCTGCCTCCAAAGCTGCTCCCCAACACTCACAGTCCTGGTTTTCCTCCTTTTTTAGGTTATTTTAGGTCCTGCTTCTTGTACTGCTACCCCCAGTGTGCTTTCCTTGCGCGGTGGTTTTGGTTTTCCAGTCTGAGATTTTTGAGAAAACCAAATTTGAGGTTTTGAGAAAAGCAAAACAAAACCTCGTCACCAGCCCCTGGTGATGAACAGCTCAACCAAAACATCAGGTAGGGAATGTCAGACCAGGGGCAGGGCAGGGAAAAGGGGGTAAAACCCCTCAAATTCCAGCCAAACAGGAGGGAAATGCCTGCCTGAAATCCGAGGAGGTTGCTGGAGTTTGCATCCTCGTCGTTCCCTGCCAAAGCTCCATGGAACCACTTCAGGGAAGGACATGGAGGGGTTGGAGAAAGGGCATGGAGGGACCAGGGAAAGAAAAGGAGCTGGGGAAGGGTCTGGAGCACCAGGAGCAGCTGAGGGAGCTGGGAAGGGGCTCAGCCCTGAGAAAAGGAGGCTCAGGGGGGCCCTTGTGGCTCTGCACAGCTCCTGCCAGGAGGGGGAGATTTGGGATCTTCTCCCAGGCACAGGAGGAGAGGGGATGGCCTCAGGCTGGGCCAGGGTGGACACCAGCAGGAATTTCCCCATGGAAAGGGTTGTTAAGCACTGGAAGGGGCTGCCCAGGGAGTTTGGAGTGCCCATCCCTGCCTGCAGGTGTCCAAGGAACCACTGGAGGTGGCACCCAGAGCTCTGGGCTGGGGACAAGGTGGGGATGGGGCCCAGCATGGACACAGATGGACTCAATGGCCTGGGAGGGCTTCTCCAACCTCAATAATCCTGTGAACCACCAGGATAAAAAAAAAAAAAAAAAACAAAAAAAAAACCAACAAAAAGTAATTTCAGACTCTGCAAAGAAAAAAATCAAAAGGAGCAACCCCTCTTGTGGGAAGAGGGAAAAGCTCCTGTGACTCCCTGCTCCAAGGGACAGACCCGAGGCTGCTCCTCCTGTTTGCAGCCTGCTGGAGAAGCTGAGGAGGAGATTCCCAGCAAGCAGCAGCTGCCTGAGCATCAGCAGCTCGGAGTTATCAGCCAGGCTGAGCAGTAAAGCCAGGCTGCCTGCTGAGGCCTGCTCTGGGAGTGCTGGGGCTGTAATTACCTGGGACACGGAGCACAGGGGGAGGCTGCTCCACCTCACCCCTCAGGAGGGCTTGGGCTTGGAGCAGGGGCCCAGGGAGCAGCTGGCAGCAATAGAAATGCACCTCAGGGGCTGCTCAACGACAGAAAACACAGGATCCTACAAGCTGTGCCCAGCTGGGTGCTGGAGGTGATGGCAAAATACCTGGGAGGGAGCACAGGGGTGCATCCCCTCCTTCACAAATGCTGGGATCCCAGATTTACCATCAGGAGGGAAGGAGAGAGAGGATTTTCCTCCTAGCCCAGCATCAAAGTTACTCTCAATGAACAAAGAGGAGTTTCAGTCCCTCTGCAGCTCCCAGTCCCCCCCTGATGCCCCCTCCCTGAATTCAGGTGTTAAAGGGTGGTGGGCACAGTCCAAACACCCTCACTGCACATTGATTTGGCCCTGCTGAGCTTGTCCTCCTGCCAAGCTGCCTTCCAGCTGCAAGGTGCACCTGCCTGTCCCTCATTTCCCCAGGAGATGCCGTGGAACAGGAGCTCCACCCAGGTGCACCAGTGAATTGTGGCCACAGCTGGGGCATCCACTCCAGCGCAGCCCCAAATCCCACTCAGAGAGGAGAGGAGCACAACTTTCCTTCATTAAAACCTCACAAAGCCAAGAAAACCCTGAGGAGACAAAGCTCTTTAGCAGCTTGCCTCGCTAATTCTCCTGCGTGTGAAGATGACTTATCCCAGACTCATCCTCAGCTGGCTGAAAATAAATCCAACCAACTTCCCCTGCTGAAGTTTCCAGCGAGAACATGTCAGGAGCTGTGCATGCACAGCTTGAGTGGCTCCTCTCTGCTGCTCTGACAGCAGGCTGGGTTGATGGACAGCTGTCTGTGGAGCATTCCCAATCTGCTCCCCAAAAAAATAAAAGAGTGGGATGGCTGGGGAAGAGTTCCCTGGGTCCTTCAGGGTGGGAGGTGCTGAGGAGCTGCTGCTGGATCACGAGCTGACCCCTGCATGCAGCACAAACACAGAATTCTTTTCCTGCTTAGCCCCTTTTTTTATATATATTTTTTCATCTTTCAGCTCTGGAAAGTCAAGAGAATAAAATAAATCAGGGCTCTACTGGGGAGTTTTGTGTTCTCTCTGGAGATAAAAGTCTCTAAATACCAAGCAGAATTATGGACGATTTGCCTCCGAGAGGGAGCAAGTTTGCTTCTGAAACTGCTGATACATTTTTAATGACTGTGAGAGCTGGTGCTCTTCTTCACTGCTATCACCACAGCCTCCTGCTATTTGGAGATTTCTGCAGAAAAAAATTCTTAGACAGTAGAGCAAAAAGCCAAAAGGCAGAACAAAATGTTAAATCACTAAAAGAAAACCCCCACCAAAAAACCCCTCTGCTGGAGCTGCCACGGAGATAAAGAAGACATCCTTGAAAAGCAGCCACCTCTCTGCCCGTTCCCTCTGCACAGCCTGGCAAGGACACTCGAGGAATCTGCTGCTATTCCATGGAATTATGGAGTGGTTTGGGTTGGAGGGGATCTTACAGACCATGTGCCATGGGCTGGGACACCTCCCAGGGTCCATCCAGGGGTCATCTGGACACCTCCCAGGCTCCCACCACCCCAGGCTCCTCCAAGGCCTGTCCAACCTGGCTCTGGGCACTTCCAGGGATGGGGCATCAACTCCTCTGGGCAGAGATTTCTGCTCCCACCTGCAGAACCTGTGTGGCATTCACATCCTCAGGACAGAGAGAGACGTAATTCTCTCTGCCAGGATTTCTCCTGGGGAAGGCAGTGAGAAAGCTCAGAGGAATAAGAGAAAACAACCCTTATCTCTATTCACTGCTCCTGTTGTTTGGCACACGTGGAATGTGTTATGGAGATTGTTTACAAAAGGGATTTGTTAATTGGACACCAAGTGTCCAATTACTTACAACAAGTAATAGTTGTTTTGATTGATTGACCAATTAGGTCAAAGCTGTGTCATGACTGTCTAGGAAGGGTCACAAGTTAATTTTCAGTATCTTTTTAGTATAGTATTAGTGTAATATAGTATAGTTCAATAAAGAAATTGCTCAACCTTCTAAAA